CATCTAACCATACAGCCAATCAAGTAATGAGGGCCACAGCTCTGTGGACAGCATAGGCCCAAAGCTCAGACAAAGTTGCTCAGGCACCAGACACAGCATGCCCAGTCAAATGCAGGGTGCTGCTGCTCAGAGGGGGGAGCAAGTCTGAAGTTCAGATAAGAGTCGCTCAGACACAAGGCCCCACCCACCCAATTGAAGTCAGAGAGCCTCCACCTGGTAGAGAGTACTAATCCAAAGTTCAGTACAAAGTTGCTTAAACCTTGCCCTCCCCCAGTTGACCTCAGAGAGCCCTGCCACCAGTCCAAAGTTCAGTCCAAAGTCACTTAAACCCACCTGGTGAAAGCCTAGAGGTCTAAAGTTCAGTCCAAAGTCACTTAGACACCAGCCTGCCCATCCAATCAAACTCAGAGAGCTGTGTTTAAGGCGCAGGTCCAAAGTTCAGTCAGAAATCAAAAAAGTCATTTAAGAACTGGTCCCACCCACCCAATGGACCTCAGAAGTTGTTCTGGAGGGCAGAAAACAAATCTGCTGGAGAATTCCTGAGGAGCTGGAGATGTGAAGTTCACACTCTCCCTGCCAAAGCTTGGACTGCCATGCTACTGTTCTCATGCTGCAGCTAGGCAGCCAGCAGACGTCCCCACCTTCTCAGTGAATTTGCCAAACACTTGGATCTACAGGGGGCAGTCCTTCTGGCAACTAGAGTTGGGGAAAGGCAAACTGGGTGCTCAGGATTGTAGAACAAATATTTGGTGTTTTATGCTGGACAGAATGGGACCTAGGCTTGGTGGTGGGACCCCAATAATGGAGGACTGGGACTTAGCTACTGCTCTCCCACAGGATGAGGTGAGCAGACTTTTGAACTCGGTTCACTGGTGGGTTAATTGCCCACTGCAGAGCTCCTATTTAGGAGTAAGGGTCTCCCTTCCTCTGGAAACTGAGCTTGTACCTATTGTTTTTCTTCCACTTTCTTGTTTCTGTTGCTTGATTCAGCCTGGGGGATATGTATCTCATTGAGGAGTTCCTCACATTCGGCTTCCATCTACTTCAGTCCAATATCTCTCCCTATGGGCATGAGGCTCTGGCAAAAGCTGCTTCCAGTCAGCCATCTTTCCACAATTCTGTATTTGAAAATTTGGAAGCTCATGTTACATGTTAGATTTACCTAGCTTTACAAGAGTTAGTTAAGCATTTATAAAGATTTTGAAAGTTAAGTTTTAAAAATGCTCAAATTTGGCCCCTTAAAAGATTTAAGAGAAGCAGATATTTTTTAAAAATCTCAGTAAAGGTAAGTAAAATGTTTAAGCCTTAACTTCTATGGAGCTTAACCAAGTTTGTTACTTTGAGTTAATTATCTAAGGGACATTTTTTATTCAGTGTCCTGGATTATTAATTAAGTCACATAGGTTTGTTGTTGTAAAAACAAAAAATTCATTGGAAGGTTTACTCTTTTTTCAAAACTGATGTTTGCCTCAGTCTTTTTTCTTTCAAGACATTTGTAATGTCCTTAAATGTAACTCATCACACTAAAGTCAATATTGAGCCTTTTCCTGGCACTGGCCTGAAGGAAACAATGGGGCAGGTCCAGAGGGAGACGGATTTTGTTCATCCTTCCCAACGAGCTCTTCTTGCTGCTCATAAATACAACAGTGACCCTAAAGTACAATCAGAACACTCCAAGGTATCTTGGGAAAAATGCTAATTTTTTCCTAAATCCAGGCAGCAAATTAAAATATCTGTCTCTATCTTATGAAAGATAAGAATAATATGCATAGCAAGTATTCAACGTCTGATTAATTGTAAGCGAACCATCTCATAAAGTACTAATTATGTATAATTGCAAAACAATGTCATTTCCCATCAGTTTTCTTAGTTTCCTTGCCTCATTTAACCTCATTCTTGCATTTAATAATGCAAAAATTATTCTCTTGAAAGAGGTGTTAGTCTTCCATCTTGGAAAGTGGCAGATTTTATAGCATAATTATAATTATTGAATGACTGATATTTAAAAAATTTCAGATAGTTTAATACCCAAAGGCACCTGACTCCCAAATAGCAGAAATTACAACTGACGATAACATATACAATACTGTTTCCGTACTATACAGCTGAAATCATATAAATTTAAGAGAATATATCCTTGGGAAAAAAGGGAAGTTAACAAGCAGAACAAAATAAATAATAATTGTATTTATACAGTTTCCAGTTTTATTTTCATAATTATCTTCCTATAGAAGCAATAATCTGCATTTGCATAACACTACATTTAATATTATACTCATTAAATAGCTGTAAAATGGGAAATAAAGCACAGATTCCATACACAAATACCATACTTTGCATATGTACAAATAAATTTAATATATTAAATATACTTTGTAGATCAACTTCACTTGCAATATAAAAGAACACTGAACAATGGATTCTAAGCATATTCATGCAGACTTTCACTCTGGTAAAAGTAATGACACTATGATTCTGATAAATAAGTTTTCTTGCTGTAAACACCAAGTTTTACATTTCTGTCTATCCCTTCAGGAGAAAAGACTTATGTAAATGAAAAAATAAAATATATAAATTCAAAATAATATTTATTAGATACCACATAGAATAATGTCTAATATCAGAGAAACATCCCCGAGTCCTGCATATTTATCTTAAATGTGGGTAGGGTATGAGGGAGGCTGTATGTTGTGTATAGCCTTTTATGTTTAACATTCAGCCGTATTACTGTTACAGGATACACTGAATCATTACTCTTTAATTTCAATATGTTAGAAGAACAAAACTTAAATTGTTTTACCCAAGGCTGTAATGGGTAATATGGTCTATAAACAGGTAAATATGTTTACAGTACTGCCAACTCTGTATTACTAAGTAATTAGCCTAAAGGAGCATTAATGTTAAGCATTAAGTTTTTGATGGGATTTAAAGGGAGTAAGTAGCAATGATGGGATTTCTGAAACATTTATGTCTTTAAATGCAAATACCTAAATACAGCTTTAGATTATTTGTAATCTCAATACAATTAAGAAAAATGATCTGCTACTTATAGAAATATGCAGGTAACTTAAGGAATCAAAACAGTAGATTTTAGACCAGGCATGGTGGCTTTTGCCTGTAATCCTAACACTCCAGGAGGCTGACGTGGGAGGATCACCTGAGTTCATTTGAGACACTGTCTCTACTAAAAATAAGAGGTCAGCTGGGTTCAACAGTTCCAGCTACTCTAGAGGCTGAAGCAGGAGGACTGCTTGAGCCCAGGAGTTTGAGGTTCAGAGAGTTATGATGATGCAACTGTACTCTAGTTTGGGTGACTGAGGCTCTGTCTTAAAAAACCAAACCAAAACAAAAAAGCATTACATTTCTTAGTGTTTGTTATCAGACCTATGATAAAGATTATATACTAACACCCACCCCTCCAAGCACACTTGCCAATGGAAGACGACACTCTAAGCTCTCCTATAGAACTTGGCTAAAGTCACTTCTGTATTCTACCTTAGCAATACAGAAGCAATCCAGGAGCTTAGCAAAACTAAGCATGCTATATACTTAAACAAGATGTGGCCCAAAAAGATAGAGATAGGGCATAAACAAACAGAAAACTATTTGGGGTAGAAAGTGCCTACAGAACGCACACTGTTGACGTTTGTAAACCTCTTCCCAATTACCAGATTATGAGATGGGTCTAAACCACACAGGGAGAAAAAGGAATGTTTCAAAACATTTTAGGAAATAACTATAAAGGACTAAAACACTGACAGCAGTGTTTTAAATAAATGTCTTTTAGACAAGTGCAATGGCTCACACCTGTAATGCTAACACTCTGGGAGACTGAGGTGGGCAGATGGCATGAGCTCAGTTCAAGACCAACCTGATCAAGAGCAGGACCCCGTCTCTACTAAATATAGAAAAACTAGCCAAGTGTAGATGCAGTCCCAGCTACTGAGGAGGCTGAGACAAGAGGATCACTTGAGCCCAAGAGTCTGAGGTTGCTGTGAGCTGTGATGATGTCACAGCACTCTACCCAGGGCACAGTGTAAGACTGGGTCTCAAAGAAAAAAAAAAAAAAGAAAAAGAAAAAAGAAAAGAAATATGTCTTTTAAAAACAATTCTTCCCTTTTAGCTAAGTTTTTTTTTTTCCTATGTCAAGTTATGGTCTAGCTGCAACTCAAATCAAATCAGAGAATATTCTGGAGGGAAAATAATGTATGTATACTAGATTAATAGACACATTACCCCTTTCTTTTTTTTTTTTGAGACAGAGCCTCAAGTTGTCCCCCTGGGTAGAGTGTTGTGGCATCACAGCTCACAGCAACCTTCAACTCCTGGGCTTGAGCGAGTCTCCTGCCTCAGCCTCCCAAGTAGCTGGGACCCCAGGCACCCGCCACAATGCCCAGGCTATTTTTTGGTTGCAGCTGTCATTGTTGTTTGGCGGGCCCGGGCGGGCCCGGGCTGGATTTGAGCCTGCCACCTTAGGTGTATGTGGCTGGCGCCTTAGCCACTTGAGCCACAGGCGCCGAGCCTACACTACCCCTTTCTTAAACTACATAGAGGCCTTTATTACTTTCTATCTGCTGAAGAACTAAGGTCTGGAGATGGCCACTGTTATGTATTTTTTAGATGGAAGGAATACCTATACTTCAGAGGACCCTATACATTTACAGAATCACTTTAACATGCTACTTTCAAAATTTTGTAATGCCACATATAAAATTTAAATCTATCTTTTACAGGGGTAAATGCTATTCTGAGGCTCAAAATGGCTTCCTGTACCTATGTCACCTCTGAAAAAAATTTGAAAATTTCAGTGTATCTAATATCATGTGGGATAAATTTCCTTTTCAAAACAGAACATCATACTTTTAAGTCATTTTTACCAGTAAACCTCACTTTTAGCAGTCTTAAACTAAATGAAAAAAAAAACTCTCATGATAAATTACAAGAACCCAAGAAAAACTATGTCTACTGCTCCTTTTGTTCAGAATGTATTTTATCTAGAATTTGGCCTAAAAATTTTAAAATCAACTGTATTAAAATATGATAGTACTTTGTTTGCTATTTCCTACTGGTATCTTAAGAAAGCTCTTATCACATAGAAAATGCTTCACAGGTAGCAATTACAATGAGTGATTTGGGAGAAATGATAACTAAAAATTAGTCTTTATTAGTATTTACAGTCATGACTACAGTGAAGTATGGATGCCCTTAAACAAGGCCCAAGTCCATGAAATTGCACATCAGGATTTTCCCTTTTTACTCCTTTTCTTTTCTGCAAGCAAAATACTAGCACAGTCCTCCTGAGTATTCGTCATCTTCTTCATCAGCAGCTGTGGTGGTGACGCCATCAGTCTTAGCCTGAGGTGTTGCAGGTGATTTCTTCTTGATTCCCCCTCCTGGAACCACTAAACTGAGGCCCAGCTTAGCATACTGTCAATGATAAAAAAAAAAGTTCTTAAAAAGGTAGGTAACTAGAATCCTGGTATATTTTACTCAGCTATAAAAACCAGAGCCTAGCTCTCTACCCTCATGAACACCAAAACAGCATTTTAGATAAAAAGGTAAAACCCAGCAATGTCCTGTCAGACACCTTATGAGCATGATGTGACCGGCATGCAACTATTAATAGTAAAACATCGAGAGCTTAAACTGACCTGACACTATGGTGACACTCTAAAGTCCTAAGAGCAAAGAAATAGGTGTTCACAAATCTACTGACAAAGAAATAAGAAACAAACTGAAACTTACACCAAGGCTCACTTTACATGTAAGGCATCAAGAGAGGATACTGCCTGTACACTGACCAGCATATTCCTCGAAGCAGACAAGCAAGGCAGGCACCAGAAGCTCCAGTTTTAAAGATAATTTAACTGAGGCTTGGAGATAGTTAATAACCTGTATCACACAGCTGTCATAGAAGCAGGGTCCCCAACAGTCAACTGACTTACAAAGACCACTACACAATGGGGCTCTTTCAGTTCTTTTAAAAGAACTTAAAATAAGCAACCTGCAGGGAACGTCGGAAGGAATGGGGAGCCAAGGAATGAGAATGACATTTACAGAATCACTTTAACTGTGCGAGGTCCACAGAGTCAGACACGGTAGACCCATATGACTGACATCCACATTATCTAAATCTGTGGTGAAATTCAATGCAAGTGGTGAGTTTATGAGCAGCAGTTGAGAATAGAAGGTAGATAATCTCATGAAACCATGGGAGAAAAACAATCTCATTAGAAGCCTCTCCCTTTCAAAAGGAAAGAGGAGGCTTGGCGCCTGTGGCTCAAGTGACTAAGGTGCCAACCACATACACCTAAGGTGGCGGGTTTGAATCCAGCTTGGGCCCACCAAACAACAACGATGGCTGCAACCAAAAAATAGCCAGGCGTTGTGGCGGGTGCCTATGGTCCCAGCTACTTGGGAGGCTGAGGTAGGAGACTTGCCTGAGCCCAGGAGTTGGAGGTTGCTGTGAGCTATGATGCCATAGCACTCTACCCAGGGGGACAACTTGAGGCTCTGTCTCAAAAAAAAAAGGAAAGAGGAAAGCCACACAAACAAACAGGCCACTCACGTCATTGTCCATGTACTTGAAAAGCGGAGAATTGCAGACCTCTGACACTTGATCTTGGTCTTGCTGGTCATAACCTTCGAGAAGCTGTTCAAGTGCAGTGCAGTCTTCACTGCCATTGAACCCTGGTATGCTACAGTAAGCACAAAGCACATTTCTTAAAAGAACACTTCTCAGCCATGTGACACCATCTGCATTCATCTGGTTGTCACACGTGAGAAAATACTGCAAGCATCCAGTGGGCAGAGAGCAGGGATCCGTGCCCAGGACAGCGCTGCAAACCCAGCTCCGAATGTGAGCAATGTGGAGATCAGGACTCCTCGCTTTAATCATCTTAACAAGATCTTTCTGAACATACAGTCAGGGAACTTTTCTTTTTTTGATTCTTTTTTCCTTAGGCAAATAAAACAAAATGACTAAGTCATTTCACTACCATGAAGGTTCCCAAGGGAAAAAAAAACACAGGAAAGGAACAACTTATGAAAGTCCTACAGTAAAAGCTAAATTGGTAGTTGAGCACTCCTATCACTATGAAGACTAATTTAAAAACCCAGTTTCCTGGCAGGACTGTTTGTCTAAGCAGCAATCTTAGCTGAAGGAACAGTAATGTCAACACTGCAAATGAATATGGTCCAGACGACACCTTACCTGTAGCTTTCCCGGACACATCTTTCTGCAGCCACATAGTCATTTCTGTGTAGGTGAACTAAGACTTGAGCAATTGTTTTCTGGAACCAAAAAGGTGACCATGGTCAAATTTATATCCATTATATAAAGTCAATTTCCTGGTAGTATTAAAAACAACTAGAATTTACCTTTCAGGGTCTCAGTTTGTATATAGATTTTTATAAATTCTGTAGTAACCTCCACAGGACACCTAAGAGATAACATTCTAGAATGTACTTCTCAGACTCTGATGTCCTGGGATGTGGCTGACATGAAGACTCTGACGGCAGGTCCAAGGTAGCCTTGGTGCAGCCATGCTGCCAAGTCTCAAGTGCCACTGCTACTGCTGGTCTGAGGACAGCAGTTTGGACACAAGCCTTTGAACACAACCATCACATTTAAGAGAATTTGTTTCAAGTATTCATATAGATTGAATCTTGAAAAGGCAATAAATAAGGAGAGGGAACCTCTAACTCTTATGATTATTCTTCTGAATTCTTTAAAAAATAGTAGGACAATGTCTAGGAATGAAAACTTCATAAAACAGAAATAATTACAGTATTCCTAAGTTAAAATAAAAGCAATAAGGAGATCCAGGATATAAGTGATAAAATCTCATCATCAAAATAGCTCTTCATAAAATATTTCTCAAGGTTTTGAATCTCTATTCAGATAATTTTTATTGATCTATCTTCAAGTTCACTGAGTCTTTCACCATCTCCATATGTATTTTATTTCAGATAATGTGCTTTTTACTCTTAAAATTCCTATTTATTTCATTTTTATAGTCTCTGTAAAAATAAGTTTTTCTATAAAAAATAGGTCCTCTTTTCCTTTAATTTCAATTGTGTTTAACTTTAACCTCATAGCGTACTTAGGACAGTTACTCGAAAGTCTTCATGTGTTAATTCCAACAACTGGGTCACTTCAAAATGGCAACAGTTGTCATTTCTCCTGAAATTGGTCACATTTTCCTGATTCTTGCCTGTTGAGTAATTTTGGATTGTACAGCTTCCACCATAATTCTCAGCAGGGTATGGATGTTTTCAGCAGATAAGCATTCCCATTAAGTTCATACTGCATACTATTTCTTGCTTTTGGTGGGCAGTGGTTCTAACCTTAGCTCAAATCCTTTGCTATGCAGCTTTGGGTCTGTCCCATGCAATAGTAGCCCTTCAGAGAGCTATGTGAGACTTAGGTAGTGCTTAAATCTGATTTCAGTTTTTAAAACTTTGCACTGCTACTTTAGTCCTGTCTCGTACAGTTAAAGAGTAAACTCAAGGCTTGTATATAGGCTATGCATACACTCAGGGGATTCCTTTTTCCAGCTCCCTCCTTTCTGGAATTTTCTCTTCATTCTCTTCACTCATCTTCCCAGTTCCTCTGGCCAAAGAGCTCTTTTGGAGTTTTCTCTGCCTGAGCCATCATCACAGCTGTAATTCCATGACTAGGGTTCAACCTTGGAGTGAAGTCAAGGGAAGAAAAAGAAAACAAGAGGACCTCTTTTCTTAGTTTCTATTTAGAAAATTGGAGTTTCCGTTAGAGTTTCTTTTGCCGTACTATAGCTTCTGTTACAGCTCCATGACTGGGGGCGTCTGTCAGGGTAATAAGAGGAAACAGAAAAAAGCTTGGGCAACTCACTCCCATGTTCATTGTTTCTCTAAGGGCTGTTCCTCCCTCAGTCTGCCTGCTTTTATTTCCTTAGCAAGAGTTTGAGAAGAGTTGCTCTTTGAATCTTACCTGGTAAATTAGTTTTAATCAGCAAGAAAAACAGGCTATAGAGAGTGAGCTTACTCTGTCTTCATCAGAAACAGAAGCCCATAAATATTATTTTACAAAAACCTATAAGTATCTGTAAAATCTTAACTTAGGCATTTATTAACATCAACATGAAAAATGAAAAATCATGTAATGTAAAGCCAAAAACAAACACTTTCAAAGAATACCTTATAACAAGTCGGGTAATTTTCAATTTCCTTATAAATATTTTTTTCTTTCTGAATAGAGAGTGCTGCCTCATCAAACCTAAAAACAAAACAAAGAACTGTAAAACAAAGCAGGTCTAAACAAAGTACAGTGAGGCCACCTTTGTGATGATATTTGCACAGATAACATCATGAGTTTAGAGAAACCAGGAGGACAAGCGCTATCAGCACCACCCAGAGTCATGTTTCCATGAGCTCTGCTCATCTGGCTTGTCCTTTAAATGTCAGACTCTCCCCTTTTAGGCATCAAGCTCACAGACAAAGCAAAAGAACTTATGGATGTGTTAGTTCAAATGGAGGTTTTAAGTTTGGTAAAGATTGCCCATTAATGAGTATCTATGAAATAGACTGCTTTGTGAAATATATTAGAGCATAACTCCTCAATCTCATCACTCCAGATTTCTTTCCTTCTGGCTAAAAAACACCTGGAGCACTCCTCACCCCCATCTTGTCATACCACCACATTCCCTCCTGCTGCCTCCATGGGCCCTAGTAAGCTCCTCAGTGCCTAAGAGGGCAGGGTGATGGGGAGGCAAGTTAGAGGGCTCAACAAAATCCTTCTTGTACCTGCCTTCTACAACACTCACCTTTCCATCTGCTCTCACACAAGCTCCTTTCCTTCCAGTCCACCCAATGGCATAGGAAGAGACAAGAGGACCGGACAGGGACTGCCAAAAATGTTCTCCGGAACCCTCTAAGCTCTTACTCCTTTCTCACTCTCCCAGCTCCAATGTCATCACACCCATTAGATCCTCCTCTGCCTGAAAAGTTGTAATACATGCTAAATTCTAGGATCCTTGAGCATCACCTAACTTAGGACTAAGTGAACTGTATAGTCTTCACTTATTTCTTTCATCCCAATAAACAGGCCAAGGCTATAGAAGTAACTACCAGTGGCTTGTTACTGGAAGTTCCCACAGCTCAACAGCTGTACTGTTAGGATACAAAGGAAGAGGGGTGGTGCTGTGTCCTAAAATAAAAATACAAAAATGTTATACCATATGCTCTATTTTTCTGCATATTATTTATATTTTAAAAAATAGTTGGGTATATATATATATATACACACACACCCACATAGTGGCATAGTAGCTTGGTTTATGATAATATGGCTACTTAGATCATGAGTTTAATTAAATTTCTGTGGGCTATACCCTGGCAATTTAATGCCTTATAAAATAACACTGGAGAAATGTACTCTGAATTTCCAAAAAGATCCAGTTAATAAATTGTTGGGTCAAAGTCAGCTTTGGTCAAGGTGGTTAGCGTAGCAGAGTTCTGAAGCCATATCCAAGATCTCCCTCTGAGTGTGATGGCACATCAGTTCTGTGATCAGGACACTAATTAGCTGATTGCCAGCAAATTGCTGCCCATGTGAGCCTGACATCACCTGAGCCTCTGGAAGTCAGAGACACGTTCTCCTAATGCCTTCAATCTGTAGCAAATTACTATACTGAGAACCACCTATGGGAGTATGTGCCCAGGAACAGAAGGTCAATTCCAGAGCCAAGTGCAGTAAGAAAACAGCAATCTTTGTCACACAGCTGTAAGGTAAAAATTCTACCAACACTCAGCAAGCTTAGAAAAGGACTAAAGCCTCAGGTATGGTCACCGCTCTGTCAGACACTTGGATCTCAACCTGGTGAGATCATGAGCCAAGAACCCAGCACTAACTGTGTATAGACTTCCAACCTTCAGAAACTGAGGTGATAGGTGAACGCTGTCTTAAATTGCTAAGCCTGTGCTAATTTGTTATGCAGAATCAGAAAATTACTCCAAGGGACTCATGTATCCTTATCTTTTGTAATTATAATCCTGAGCTTATCACAGATCCTTTTTTATAAAATAAACTCCATCAGAATATTCTGTGGCTGTAAATGCCCAGATTACATCATTCTAATAGGAATCTCAGTATTTTAAGTTTTTCATATATTTAACTCTAAAGACTACATTCTGCACACATAAATTATTCATTTCCTTGACATAAAAATGGCATTTCCATGTGCTAGTGCCTAAGAGCTGAGAGAAATACTCTGCATTAATACAGATTTGTAATTGTAAAGTTGATCAACATAACTAAAAGTGCATGAAATCGGCATCCAAAGCCACTAATTTTCAAATACCCCATCAGGTAATTCTTTTTTTTTGAGATAAGAGTCTCACTATATCGCCCTTGGTAGAGTGCCGTGACATCATAGCTCACGGCAACCTCCAACTCTTGGGCTTAAGCAATTCGCTTGCCTCAGCCTCCCAAGTAGCTGGGACTATAGGTGCCCACCACAACACCTGGATAGTTTTTAGTTGTAGTTATCATTGTTGTTCGGCAGGCCTGGGCTGGGATCAAAACCACCAGCTCCGGTGTATGTGGCTAGCACCCTAGCTGCTGAGCTATACTACAGGTGCCAAGCCACCATCAGGTAATTCTTAATATTCCTAACAAAATAAAATGTACTAGGTTTTGCTGAAGACAGAGTAATTTGTTTTTATCATTTTATAATTCAGAAAAAGAATCAGACCCAAGTAAAACAAAAAAATGAGAACTTACAGACATTATGTACCTATGGCAAGAAATTGTCATAGAACGTCAATTACCCCTAAGCTTTCAATAGATATCTTCCTTACCATGATTCAAACAACTCTTGCTCTAGCCCCATTTTTTTGAACTCCAGAATATAGTTTTAACTATCTACGCACATTTTTAGCCTTAGTTGGCATATTCCCATCTAAGCTTTTTATCATCAGTGATAAGCATATTTCTACACTTCTCACCTCAGTTGTTATCATGAACAGGACAGTTACGCAAGACAGTTACCCAGTGACTCTCCTTAACAGTACAGACCCGCCAAACACACACAGCCTCCCTCTCTTTAGGATTTAGTAACTGTCTCACATGACAGGTGGGAAGCAGTACTTTTCTTGCTGAATGAGTCTTATAAATGCATTGGTTCACTGAGGAAAAAATACATTGTGTGCTGGCAGCTTCCACCTCAGAACCTTTTTTGAAGGCACTGGAATATAAGGCCTAAGCCACGATCAGCTCACTGGAAAGGCCTCTTTAAGACGGAATAAGGGCATTGGACTTGGACCAACTCTAAGATCAGCCAAGATACTCACCTAAACAAAATTCTGAATCACAAGTGAATTATTGCTCTCCAGAACTGAAGGAAAAGTGAAAGACTAATACTAAATAGATTAATTTTACTATGCTTATATTTTTAAGTTAGGACTAAATCAGTTAATATAAAAATATAACTCTATTAGCAGATGTTACATGTGTGAAGTACACAACTGTCACTTGTTTTAGTTCTTACAGGCAATTAATCCAATCAGATTATAATCTGAGTATGTACTGAAGATATTCAAGTAACACATAAATTGTCTCAATTATCCTTCTATTAGCATAAGCTCTCCATGTTTGTCTTTCCCAGCACTACCAAAGTTCCTGACAGAAGTTCCATGGCAGCAGATTTTTAATTCCTTCATACAACAGTGACCCAACACTTTTCAAAATCTCATATTCCTGAATAAATTTAAATTAAGTTTTACATAGTTATACAATTCAAAAATATATTTCTGTAAAATTGATTTTTGTTCAAACACAGCAGAAAACATTTTTAAAATGCATTTTACTAAAAAGAAAAAAAACCCAAGAAATCAAAATCATGAAGTAAATAAAAGATCCAATTGGTTGCCCTAGATCTACAAATTGCCACCATCCACCTTCCAAGTATATCCACACATTTTCACTTCTGCTCATTCAGTTCACACTTTCCCCCTCTGTGAAACTGTGAAGAAAACTTGGTGCTCAAACAGAGGTTTTTATTACACATGTCAACATCCATCAGCAAGGTTTTCAGAGTGGCCGGGGCTCCACTCCCCAGGGGGCTCACTATAGGACCATGAACAGGTGGGCTGACCTCCAGGGCAGATCCTAGTCCCTCGCCTCCCCTTTGCTACTGCCCCTACAACACAACATTTTAGGTAATCTATGTTTAGAAAGCAAAGGTAAAAAGACACAAAAAGGAGAAACACTTCAGGGTAGCTGAAGCAGAGTGGACCCCACACAGGGCTGTCCTCACCTACTGCCACCTCATATCTTCCACCCTTCACAGGGTCCTACAGGAAGGGACCCAGCGCTCTACAAAGACACTGAGAGCCCTGGGGAGGCAGAAGTATGCCAGGACTTGCCTACTGTCTGCCCTTGTCAAGGATGCTATTCCCTGTTTCTATAATGTAAGGCCCCTGCTCACAAGAGTCAGAATCCAAGTAACACTTCACACTTCAGCTATCCTGCAGCAGCCTGGCAGCCATGACCAGAAACAGTTTTGTTTCTGTCACAAACACTTTCAGGGACCAAAATGAATCATTTATAAGTCAAGGAATTGGATGTCTAAATGAGAATGCTTAATGGTTAATTCTACATTAATTTATTTTCAAGTTCCTCTAAATCTTTTGAATTATACTTTAGAATCTAAGTTTTCATAAAGAAAAAAATTGAAGTGAATCTCAGCATGGCACTGATGGATTCATTAATCATTCCTATTTTAATTCCTTAACAATACATATCTCAGGTCTTCTCTGCCCCTGGAAAGCTACAGAGAAGTTTCAGTGAAGGTCTCTATCTCCATGCATACTATCTCTTAAAGTTGCTGCTCTTCATTTACATTAAATTAAATTAAATTACATTACTAAGTGAGAATTTGGCAAACAGAATTTCATTAATGACAGAAATTGTCCACTAAGTGTAAATTGAGGAAAAGTAAAAAAGTAAAAAAAAAAAAAAAAATCCAATAGCATTTTAGCTTTCCAGGGTTCAAAAATTTTGTGCCTAAAGTCATGTTTTAAGGATACAAAAGTAAATGTCCTATGTAATAACACTACTTGGCTGTTAAGAACTGTCAGTTTCATGGGTGAACATTTAGGACATGTTTGTCATTTATCCTGACATTGTTACCTTTCCTTGAGAGATTATAATGTAACCAAATAACAGATCAAGAAAACTGTTCTCTCTCATGCTGCTGAGCCATGTCTCAACCACTACAAGCAAAGTGCATGACAAACTTCGGCAGTAAACTTTGAAAGAACTGCTCTTATCGTCTGTCTATAGATGTCACTTTTTTTACTGAATGGCCTGGTGTGTCCATAGCTTACACCAGAAATACTAACAAGCAAACCCTCAAATTACTCACCAGTTCAAACATGGATTCAAATTATACATGGACACATAGGAATACAGTTTTGAAAGATGTACCTGCGTCCTCGTACAAGCAGTCTGGAGGCTTTTCCTAGTAATTCAACTGCTTGTCGTAAACGTTCCTCATTCTGAAGGAATCAAAGAAAAAGTGTCAGCTGGTTTAATGTACAGATCTTCTATGTCTTGGCATTTCTTTTATTAACAAACAAGTAATGGCACTGCATCAAGGGGGAATACCAAAGCTGCTAGTCCATTTTCACTATTCTCTAATGCAAAAAAGAAATAGAATAAAGTGAGCATGGAAAAGTTTCAAAAGTAGCCACTGCATTTCTTCATTTTCTTATATATTAGAAAATAAAGAAATAATATATAAAGAATCCAAATATTCTAAGTAATTAAAAAAAAATCCAAATATTCTAAGTAATTAAAAAAAATTCAAACTTACTTCAAACACATTAGCTGTCTGTTGATATAACTGTACAGCCTTCTCTGGGTCTACATTTTCTATAAGCCTGAATCAAACAAGAAAATTTGACTTATGAGAAATAGAAAACTTTTGCAAAGGACATTATTAAAAAAAAAAAAAGAAAGAAAGAAAAAGACAACAGCCTTGTGTGAGACTGGGTCTTTGAACAGTAGCTCCATGTGCTCACTTTCCAGCCCGCTCCAGCGCCATGGCTGCGGTGTCAGGGGTGCCGTTTTCGAGGTACATCATGCTGGCCTTCTCAATGAGCTGGACAGCCTCGGGCAGTTTCTGCATCTCCTTTGCACAAAAGATACAGCATGGATCAGAAAACGTATCAAGTTAAGGAATACAGAGTTCATCTGAAATTTTATCCTAATTCATGAAATGACTCAAAAAATATTATACAACACCAAATACATTTAAAATGAAATGCCTTCACATGGTTACTCTCCAAGTCAAGCTTCATTTAACTAAACCGAAACCATAATTTCCACAGAGTTTATCATCACTTCACAGACCTTCAGGAAAACTATACATATACTAGAAAGCAAAAAACTTGCTCTTTTGTGTTTTCTAAGCATTTACAATTCTTTAAACATTTACTGGGCTCTACTATACACAAGGCCTTTGCCAGAGATCACAAACTGGTAGCCTGAGGGCTACATCTCATTTCCAAGTCCAATTTGATTGAACCATGCATTATTTTAAAATCAGACACTTCCCCAAGAAAATGTTTAACGGCTTCTTTTAAAAAGACATCAAAGGCTCGGCGCCTGTAGCTCAGTGGCTAAGGAGCTAGTCACATACACTGGAACTGGTGGGTTTGAACCTAGTCCGGGCCAGCTAAACAACGACAACTGCAACCAAAAATTAGCTGGGCATTGTAACAGACACCTGTAGTCCCAGCTACTTGGGAGGCTGAAGCAAGAGAATCACTAAAACTCTAAAGTCTGAGGTTGCTGTGAGCTGTGATGCTACGGCACTCTACCCAGGGTGACAGTTTGAGACTCTATCTCAAAAAATAAAAAATAAATAAACAAATAAAAAGACAAAAGCTATGGCTACAGCAGGCATGTATTCCCACCTGGCAATAACGAGCTAGGACTGAGTAGCGAGCAGCTGTCCCTGTTAGATGAGATGACCAGCCACCTCCTGGAATTGGCTGCATTTCTCCTCACTGCCAACTGCCCTACACAGCCAGAGCTGCCTCACCCATCTCAATTATCCCTTATACCTCAGTTCATCTGAGATTCAACACTCTTCCACGCTGACTGTCATTAACAGGATAAATTCTCTATCTAACCATTAATCTGTAAGTCTCAAGATCTTGTGATGCTACTGCGTAGTATCTCCAAATCAAAAATTTTTTACATAAAATAAAAACATCACTTATAGCTAATCACAGAGTTTAACAAATGTTACTTATTTAGGTATGACTTGTATCTCAAAGTAGACTCTACATTGACATCTCATGGGTTATTTTAAAATCTGCCTATTCAGTCCTTTGCTAAGTTAACAAATCCATCAGGATACCCCTAACAAAACTGCTGGGCTCACTCTCACCACTCCAAAACAGAACTTTTCATTATTTAGCTCTGGAAACTAACAATAAAACAGGCTGAAAGATACTGCATAAAAGTTGCTAACATCCATCCAAGTGGAACATGTTAATATTAAGCATTTACCCAAACTTCACTGAAAAAATAAAAACAAAACCTTCTGTGATGAAACCCAAGGCCAATGAAAGAATCTCTGTCTACGGCATATGTTGGAGACTATTTCAGTCAACAGTGAATAGTGCAAAGGAGATGCAGAAACCTAAAAAAATCACTGTTCAGTCCAGAGGGACATTTTGGCTTTTGCAGAATACAGGTGACCCTTGAACAGCATGGGTTTGATCTGTGTGGGTCCACTTACACACAAATTTTCTTCCACCTCTGCCACTCATGAGGTAGCTAGACCAGCTCGTCCTCACCCGCTCATGGTGAAGATGACAAGGCTGAAGACCTTCATGACAATCCACTTCCACTTAATGAATGGTGAATCTATTCTCTCTTCCTTATGGTTTTCTTAACATTTTTTCTCTACTTTACTATAAAAATATGCTGTATAATATATATTATATATAAAATATGTAATATTTTATATATTAATCAATTCTTAATAATCTAGACAAGATATCCAGTCAACAGTAGGCTACTGGTAACCAAGTTTTTGAGGAATAAAGTTTTATGTTCAGGGGTTAACTGGGTGTTCTTCCCCTAATTCATCTATTTATAATTGAATATATACTGATCATCTATAATATAAAAGCATTTGGAGGGATATACTAGGTAAAACCCATCCTTCATGAGTTTTACCTAGTATGTACGATGTACAGAGCTACAACCACATTAGAAGGCAGTACGAAGTGAGTGCCATCAAAGGCCTAGGATTAAAAAGTAACAGCTATATCCTCCTGCTTTGGCATCAAATGAAGTAAGCCTATGAATAAGGGAGGTCCAACCACACCACTAATACTTCTCCATAAAAAATGACAGGCTGCCTATTTAAAAGTTATAACATTCACCATAAACATGCTTATTTTCAATGGCTTGTGTGCCTACAGAGCAAACAGGATGTGAAATCACAATAATTGCTAAATGAAAGAACCAATGGTTGATCCTACAAGTCCCTGTAGCTGCCCTCCTATCTGTATTTAATGTCACTCCCTAAGCTGTGTAGAAGGATAACTGATTGTGGAAATTTAGTTAGAATTAACTGTGGACCCTATATCTCAGGACTCCCAATGCTGCCCAGGATTGTCCAAAGGCATTTAATTTAATAGGAGACCATGCCAGAAGGCATTTTCCTTCATGTTTCTCTACTCGTTAAGTTTATTTTCCTTCATACAAAGTAGTGCCTTTCCAACCCTCAAATTAAACAGCTATTTGAGCAGTGTTTCCACTGCTCAAATTAAGGCCTAGACAGGTGCTGACTGATGCATTTAGATAACAATTTCTGATGAAGACTCAAGTCATAGCATGGCTATGTAAACTATAGCTGTGAGAACTAGTGTTCTAGCACTGCTATAGATACTATATTCTGTAAGAACTGCCTGAGAGCTTCCTTGCTCTCAGGGAAACCAAGGCAGGAGGTCAGAGCTTTCTCTGATGACAAAAAGTTCTACTTGCCAAGGAATTGCTGCTAATAACTTAACTTGTATCACTGAATTTCATTTTAGTTGCATGTTTGGCCAGAAAAGCTTTACTTTAATGTATTTATCATATCATACATACAATGAAGCATCCTAATATATTTAAACATCTTCCTATTATTAAAAATTTAGATAATTGCCATTTTTAATAAATACCCTTCTGCATAAATCTTTGATATTTCTTTATGACAAACTGGCAGAATATGAATTTCTGGGACAAAGTTTCCTAGCTTTTAAACTAAGCATGTTAACGTATGTAACTAGCATTCTTTATTCTTTCTAGTGTTTCTAAATGTTCTACAATGAGCATGTGTTAACTGAAAACAATCAGTAAATTCAAATTATAAAAGTCATATATAAAATTCAAAAGCTTTACTACAGTGTAAGTTCTTAAAAACAGCTTTTACCATATTAGAAAACATAAGAATGGAAAGAAAAATATTTTATTTCAATTGCCACTTGGCTACTTTGAGAGTCAGTGTCATAAAACAGCATGCTCTGTCTCACCACAGGATATTAATTCCTAACCTGCTTTTAAGAAGTAGAAGTATAAAAAATGGCATAAGTACATCAGTCAGAATATCCCATTCAAAAAGAATCAGTTAAAGTAGCAAAAACTTAAGTCTGTGGTTTTCTTCACTGCCAACTAGTATTTATAAAACAAGATCTCTTCTATTTGTAACCCATGAGTACCAAAAAAAGAACTTTAAATTTTTATTATTATATATTAAGATGTCCTTAAGTTCTGAGAAGTAGGTAAATCTTCTATACATCACTTTTGCTTTGTTTCCTTTTTTTTTTTGTGACAGAGTCTCACTCTGTGCCCTAGATAGAGTGCTGTGGCATCATCACAGCTCAAAGCAACCTCAAAGTCTTGGGCTCAAGCAATCTTCTTGCCATGGCCTCCCCAGTAGCTACAGGCGCCAGCCACCATGCCTGGCTAGTTTTTCTATTTTTAGTAGATACAGGGTCTCGGTCTTGCTCAGGCTGGTCTCCAGCTCCTGAGCTCAAGCAATCCACCTACCTCAGCCTCCCAGAGTACTGGGATTATAGGTGTGAGCCTCTGTACCTGGCCTTTTTTTTTTTTTTTTAAAGCAGTATGTACACATCTGTCCTAGTTATAGAGCTTAGAACCTTGCTGTTTTCTGTTCCCTCCAAGATATTTTTTCTTAAATTTCACTTTTAATACTATCTTAAGACAGAATGTACCCTATAGGTTCCATTACTGTTACTCTGGGCAGGAGATCTTAACTTGGCCTCTCTTCACTTACAGTATGGAAGCTTGTCAATCTCAACATAGATTCTACTTTAACACACTGTGATTAATTCATTTTACCTAAACAGTATCTGTGATACAACATTACTGACCTTGAGCATCATGCCAGCTTGCTCGTAAGCTCTGCAAAGAGAAGAGAATTTCTCTGATGAGATCTTAATGAAATAAGAGAGAAGAAACTTTCCATCAAGGAACTACTGGTGAGAGAAGTGACTTCCATTAAAATTAGCTCATGCACAACACATCACTCTGGGCTTGTACGGGTATTATCGTATGACTTTCTCTCCTTTTTATGCAATCATGCCTTAGGAACATTAGACATTTGAGTTGAAGAGATTTTATTTTGTAGATGCAAAATTATGTAAGAGTGAGAAAGGTTAAATTACTTTCCGTTGGACAAACTTAAATCTTAGTTTTAAAACAAATAAATTCTCTCCACAAAAACAGAAGAAAGTTTCCTGCCTTTTCCAGGGGCACTATTAACAACCAAGAAGTGGGGGGGGGGGGAGAGATTCTAATTAACTTGTGTTTCATAGGCTACCAAACAAAATGGTCCTGAAAATATTATGCCAAATTTAATTTAAACATTATATATCTTACAGCTAGGAGTATCTTAGTTTTAAAAGTTTAGGTAAATACTGAAGCAAATGGAAATGACTATTTTATTTAAATCAATACAAAATAATTCACTATTTATGAATTTTTAACTTGGGAAAAATTTATTGACCTACAGAAAAATAGTAACATTTAAAACATAATCTGTAAATGCATGAAAACTTAGAGAATATTTACTTACTTGGCAGCATGAAAAAGACTGAATGGATGGAATGAAGTTAAAATTAAGGAAAAAGAGGAAACCAATAGTATCTAGAGATCTGCTATTTAAAAGACAAGTAACTAAATCATTGACCCAGTTGGTTCCAAAAGACAAATCCTACAAACTGATAAAGAAGAAATAATTCAATGCCTATTGATAACCTGTTAAAATTCATAAAAATCACCATATGACTTTCTATTGTCAATATATATATTAATCTTAAGAGTTTTACTAAAATCTGAAGTTATTATGACTATAATTTGTAAGATAAACATTTTTTTATCAGTAAGTTTTAAAATATCTCAAGAAAATTTATTATTTTAAATTACTTAGATATATTACTTCAAATACCTAAGGAAGACCACATTTAAAAACAACTGATATAGCAGTTCATGCATTTTCAGTATCTGTGCTACTTTTATATCCTTCAGTGAGAGTTGACAGGTTTCCCTCATTTCACTCCAAGTAAAGCCATAAGGAAAATCAGAAACAACAGAAAATAAATTCTCAAATGTAGCTCTGCAAATCAGTGTGGACTTGATCACCATACATCACTAGAAATGCTCCTTCAGAGTTTAAAATGCAGAATTTTTCTTTTTCTTTTTTTTTGGGGGGGGACAGAGTTTCACTTTTTTGCCCTCGGTGAGTGCTGTGGCATCACAGCTCACAGCAACCTTAAACTCTTGGGCTCAAGCAATTCTCTTGCCTCAGCCTCCCAAGCACCTGGGACTATTGTCACCCACCACAACACCCGGCTATTTTATTTATTTATTTATTTTTCAGTTTTTGGCCAGGGCCAGGTTTGAATCTGCTATCTCTGGTATATGGGGCCAGCACCCCTATTCCTTGAGCCACAGGCACTGCCCCCCGCCTAGCTATTTTTTAAAGATGGGGGTCTTGCACTTGCTCAGGCTGGTCTCGAACCTGGAAGCTCAGGAAATCCACCCACCTCAGCCTCCCAGAGTGCTGGGATTACAGGTGTGAGCCACCACACCTGGCCCCCAAATGCAGAATTTTTCTAATCATTTTCTATTTTAAAATCATTTTGCTTCACAGGTAGGAAATGTATAGCAAGAGAAAATAGTTTGCCAAAATCATCTAATTGTTTTATTTCTTTTTAATGACTGAAAAAGATACGCCCTATTATTTTCATGGGCAACAGCTTCCCTCAGGCAGGCATCTTTTGCTTGCTCGAACTGTTTGGCATTTTTAAAAGCAACAGCTGAAATGGAAAAAAAAAACAAGACTTTCTATTTTCATCACTTACAAACCTCAAATGAATCATTATTGAATTCTGCATTTTACAAGAAGTATTATAAACATACTTATTTCAATCAAATACTCAGGAATTTTCATAAAAGTATAAAATACTGCCTTTTTATAAAGCAGTTTCTTATAACCTTTCTGATGATTAATAATTTAGAATTTTTAAGTTTTTCTTTTTTCATTGTTGACTATTAGCAACAAATCAATGCTACTGCCACTCAAAATCAGGAAATCTAACACCAACACTTCCAAACTATCCCAGTAGGTACTTCAGTCACAAAAGACAGCATCTTTCTTCACCGGTTTTACATGTAATATAAAAGCAGTGCTTTAGTTACAGCTCATTAAATTATTTAGAAACTGAAGACCAAGAAACACATTAAACAATTCTATAACACTTTTCCTTTTGGAACATATTACAATAAATGTCTGACAATTCATTTATTTAGAAAAGCAAAGCTTTTATACCATTTAACTATCTATGAAAAAGGCATCTCACTGTCTAAATGTGTAATCATCAACACAAAACCATTAGGAGTGGCTTTAAAATATGGTCCTATAAATTTTGGAAGACTTGACCAAAGGTTGCTTATGAAGAAATAAAAAACACAGAGATTTTAGAAAAGTGTTACGGGTTTAAAACACTCTTAAAATTCTCTTGAATAAAATGCAGAAAACAAATAAAAAAAAACCCCTGAAACTATTCTCCCTGCTTTTCCATACTTTGCTTTAAAATTTCTTTTCCTGATTAAATGTATTTTGCATAAACAAAGAAAATAAACAAAAGGTGTGTTAATGGGAATATCTGACCTACAACATTTATTTTTGCATGTAGCTCATGGCCAGAGGCATATAAAACAAATACATATTAAATTCCCTTCACAGAACAGACTTGTGAAAAGATGTACCCTCCTATGAAAAAAGCATCCGTGTATAAGGTTCATAAAATATGAACAACTTTCCGTAATTTTTAGAATGAGATATATAAAATTTACATAATGCCAGAGGAAGAATTCACTCACATTTAAATAAAAGGCTTAAAGATTCATTTGTCATTTCTTTTATCTAGAAAATAAACCCTACATTATACTGATTAGTTTCAATTGATCTGTGAACTTCTCTTTTCTTTAGTGATATACTAAAATTAAAGTCTGTGCAAAAACAGACTTATATGATCTCTAAGCTAGGCTAACAAATGTGATCCGGGCCACTGCTAGAAATATGTGTAAGGTACTTCAAAACTGTGTAATACTTTATTCCCAAAATGATCACAAATATGCTGAAAGCTATCATTCTATAATTAAAAATGCTAAATTTTTAGTAAATTATTTTCCTGATCATATTTCAGATAGTTTATGTCTTATAAACAGATGAATTAATACAATTATCTAGATAGCTTAACACTTCCTAAACATTTAACACATATTTTAAATACATAATGTGCTAAAAAAACATGATTTGCATATATGCTTAGAATGAGGCTAGGTTAAAAAAAATAACTTAAAAGAAAACTCTTTTTTCAATAACAGGAAATATAACAGAGAAATATGGCAAAAATGATGCATGCAGTAATGACTGACCCTGAAGAACACCAAAAACCTGCAGCTGTCCACCCAGTCCCACCCTCCTCTGCTGTCAGGACTGACAAACACCAGGATCTACATCCAAAAATACATCCAAGAACAAATGTAAAAAAATGTAAAGGTTTATGCAGTTACCTTTTTTTTTTTTTAAACTATTAAAGATTAAGAGTATCATGCTGGGATGAAGTCATCAGACTATTTTCAGATTACACACTGGAGCAATAAGACTATGGTCACAAATACCTGCTTTTCCATATTCAGAAGCAGCACTGTCATAATCTGGCTTCCATTTTAACAAACCAGTTTTTAGGCTGGAATTAAAGGAAAACAAATTTAACAGCATTACCAAGCACATTTATAGGTCAAACCCCGAAGCCATTCAGGTACAAACTCCCCACTTTGCCCACCTGTATGTACCCAAACCTGTTCATAATAAATACAACCTCAACTCTTCCCCTCCCACTGTTGCGTATGTGGTTTCCTCCTAGAGGTCCTCAATGCATGGTCCCCAGACCAGCAGCATCAACATGACCTGGGAACTTGCTAGAAATGTAAACTGATCTTCCCACTCCAGACCTACAGAACCTCTGAGGTTTAACAAGGACTGAGGCGCATTAAAGGTTGAGAACCTCTGCAGCACAGTGTCTTTAGCAGCTGGGTTCAAGAGACTTGACTCAGAAGAGAGGCTGGAGACATAAATAGAGGAGCCATCAGCATGGGCCACACCCAGAGCATAAATAGATCTCCTAGGGCTGAGGGAGACTGGAGACAGGAGAGATTAAGTAATATAATCAAGAGTGGAACAGCAAAGGAAATAGGCAATACAGGGTGAGAATTAGCCACCAAGGAACATGAAGGATAACCAGAAGAGAAGCACATTATGAAAACAAAAGAAACTGCTTTCTAAGATTACTACTGGCTTCTCAGATGTCAAGTGGAAGACAATCTATTTTGAGTCCTTATATGACTTTCCCTTTCTACAATAATTTATTTTTCTTACTTTAAAATAATTTCAAACTTAGTTTAATTCAGTCACTGTCAAACTTTGTGTGCATAAGAAGTACTGAATGTCATCTTAAATTCTAAATTTCAATTTAATTAGTGAAAACCTGCATACATATAACACTGTTTGTTTCAAATGAATCAGGGAGAAACTTAACTGACAAGGAATCCCTAAAAGTCCTCAGAAGTATGCCCTTCACTTTTAACAACTGAGTGAACTGCCCAAAGCCCTAACTGTTAAGTAACATTTTTTTGCCAATTAAATTTAACATACATAACATCTAAAATGTTTGCATATATATACTGTTACAAGATTCAAATTTGTAAGCTATTTTTCAAGCTTTCCAAGAATTGAATTGCTTAGAAAAATAAACCCCTTAAATTGTGGTGTGTCTATTCTAATCCATGAAATTGAGGAAATGTACAATAAAGCAACATTCTAATCCTTTAACCCCTATCCTCAAACATTCAATATTCTGTATATTTCTAAAATACAAAAGAAGATATAATCATCTGATTGTTTAAAGTGCTAAACAAGGAACCCCCCCCCTCAAGATTTTAAAATACAGCAAATCATCCAAAAGCAGTATAGTTAATTTAGGTTTAATGGCTATTCTTGTCAGTATTTTTGTCTTTTTATCCAAAGCATCAACAAGAAAAATGACCAATTTCCCTAGGAGGAAAACAACGACAACAATAAAACTGCCATCTACTGGGGGAGGGGGGGCAGGATGTGTGTGTCTGACTATTACAAAACTATTCAGCAATACTGAACTCTATTAGAAAACAGAGGAAAAAAGTTGTTTTCTAAGACGCTCTTGGCCCATTTTTCTTGCCACCTACTTAGCAACTTTGTCTAGAATCATGTCAAACTAACACTTCAAGCCTGAATCCAACACTGCCTGCCCCAGCCCTATCCACTAATCATGCCCACTCATCTAATCTACCTGGGCTGAAGGCCTCTCACACTCCATTTCCCAAGTTAGAAACCCAAGAATCAAACCTTCACCTCTAATTCCAGGTAGGTCATTAAACATGTCAACCCTATGTGACAAATGTTACTCCATCCACCCCTCACTGTTACTTGAATTCAGGCCATCATCACTTATCCCATGAGGTCAAGAACCTACTATTGGCCTGCCTCCAGGACCTTCCATTTCTCTCACCCTTAACTTTCCTTGCTTTGTATCTCCACCATGTCCACTGAATACATTCTACCATCTGAACGTCTTTTCACTCATCTGTTCTCTTGTGAATTCTAAGATCTTAAAAAATTCCTGGGTTTTCAAGCCCTGCTCACAAATCACCTTTATGAACTTTCCTAAACATCCTCAGGCATAATAAACTTCCTCCCTCTGTGCTATCAAGACACAGTTACCATAGCTTTAGGTATTTCACACATTAATTATACTTATTCTTTTTTTTGCAGGTTTTGGCCAGGGCTGGGTTTGAACCCACCACCTCCAGCATATGGGGCCGCCGCCCCACTCCTTTGAGCCACAGCGCCGCCCCTAATTATACTTTTATGTTAGCTCTCACTATACAATGAGACTATTAGGGAAACCTCCTGAGCTAAAACAGCGCCAGTACCTTACACACCACCTTGTAAGAAATGTGGTATAATAAAAAGGGCTTGAGTTTTTCCACTGTTTGAAAACTGGCTTTGCCATCTTTCAACTGACTGCAGGCTTGGGTAAGTCATTATGAAGCTTCCTTAAGCCTCATTTCCTCTTATGTAAAATGAGAATCTCTATTTCGAAAGTTGGTAAGATCTCAGATGATGAAATTACGTATGTGAAGCACCTGCCAGAGTGCGATGCCAACATTGCATTATCCGTAATTACCAGATAAAAATTCGTTGGAGGGTGTCAAAAAGATTAAGCTAGGAAAATCCGTTCAGGCCCACAAATATTTGTTGAGTGCCTTACTACACTCTGTACCAGAAGGTGGCAGCACACACACATAAATAGAACACTAAGGACTAAGCACCAGTATGATAGCAGATGAAGAGTTCACCGAGCAATTTTCAGGGTAAATCTATAGTCTCCTCCGCAACACCAGGGACCCTTCAAGAGTGGTGGTTGTGAGCACCACATTTTTGTAAGCAACATTTCTGATTATCATAAAAGGGGAGAGGGGAGAGACAGAGGCAAGGGGTGCTGCTAAAGATCCTACAATGCACAGGACAGTCCCCCCTCCCCCGGAGCCATCTGGGGCAGAGCCTAGGTTGAGAAACCCTTTTTACAGGAAAAGCAGCGCAACACTACGCCGGAGCCCCTCCCTACAGACACCAGTTCTGGCACGCAGACGACTTCCGGTGGGGCTGATGAACTTCGCTTCCCAACCGGCTGTGGCAGCGGCCCCAGACCCGGCCCCAGCCCTTGGGGTCTGCCGCCCGGGACGACACGGGGATCCCGCAGCCTGGCGGGCGTCAGCGAGCCGCAACCCCCTCTCCCCCAACGCCCGCCCTCCGACCCCGCCAGCGTGCTGACTAAGCCGGGCCGGGCGGGGCACGGACCCAGCGTCCGCACACAGGCCCTCGGTAGCTCGCTCACTATTTCTCTGCTTTAGCGAGGTGCTCCAACCCCTCGTTTATCTTCTGAGCCGCCATCTCCACAGCCCAGTCCCTGACGTGGGAGAGACCTACGACGCTTCCTCGAACCCCGAAAGAACCTGGCCCAGTAGGCGTGGGAATATCGAAAAGGAACCAGGAACGGCGCAGCGGCCGAGCGGCTACGGAGGGCCAGAAGGTGCAAACCTGCCGCGGCGAAGCGCCGCAGAAGTCGGCAGGAGCGCCCCGCCGGGAGGCAGGGCGCAGGCGCAGAATGTCAAGCGTGGCCAGACTTGCTTGCAGCGCAGGCGCGGTTGGATATTGAAACCGGTGTGTTCATTGGTGTGCTGAGCACTTAAAATAGCTTGAGTGATTTGACAGTTAGCAGGCTTATAGTTTGCTTTACTTATTGGTTGATATGCAGTCGGTGCTCAAAAGACGGAATGGATGACTGTATGAATACTGGTTTGGCTGGTCATTCGTTCAACAGATATTTATTGGGTACCTAATATGCACCAGGCACTGTTCTAGGCCCTGAGAAATCAGCAGGGAGTACAGTAGACAAAAACGCCTTCCTTCATGGAACCTTGCTTTCTCATTCATGTGAAAATGCTGTGGATCCTTTTGGTAGAGTTCATCACCTTATATTTTATTACATCTGATGTTTCTCTGTACCACAGCTAGAGCAGTATTCATTCATTCGTCCCTTCTGCCTTTTGAGTGCTAACTGAATATCAGTCAAAAGCAAAACGAACTATAAGCCTGATAACTGTCAAATAATGATTTAGCTATTTCAAGCTGTGATAAGTGCTCTGAATGCCAAGTTCAGGGAGTTAGTGTCTAGTGCATAGGTCTGGTAGAATAATAGCCAGTAATAACATTGGCTCCATTCATAATTTATGGTGATTTTAATATCTACTTGGTTGGCTCCTGCAATACCCACAGCCTTTCAGTTTCAAACCTCCAATGATGTTTTCTAACACCAAGCATAGCCAACCATTCCCAGGATTGTGTTTTTGAACTAATAACTGTGTGTCCTCCATAGTGTTGCGTCAAAGAGCCCCCTTTACTCCCTCCTGTCATTCCAGTTCATACCAATAAGTGTCAGTAAGTCATTACCTTCAACAGATTTCTTACTTTTCCCCTATCCCTCTGCTCTTACACTTCCTTTTTTCCTGGCATGAATTCCCTGTTCCATCATTTTTGCCACTCTTTTGCATATATTTTCAATGTCCTTGGCTCTTCCTTCTTCCTTTTTCTTAACCTGGAAAAAGCCCAACCTTCCACCTACACTGGAACTTCTTGGGTAAGTGAATTTGGCTGGAGAAAAACAAACCAGCATGCTGACATGACTCATTTTAATGATCATAAACATCAAGCAGACCTTCAGAGCTGCTGAGCAACTGTGCTACATTTTCCTGGTCAAATTACTCACCCACTCACTTGGATGGCTGTTCACACCTTTCTTCTCAAAACCCCAGTGCCATCTCTCTGCCTACCTGCCAACTCTCACTTCTTGTTAAAAAGAACATAACAATTAGAAGAGTTCTTCCATTTGGCCTCACCACCCAATCTATTAATATCAATCTACCTGCATCTTCTTTTATTTTGCCTTTTATTCAGTGGCAATGAGTGAACTGGCCTTGGGTTTTTCTGTCTATCCTCACTTCCTTATTTAGTCTTATGGGTATAAGTGTCACCCATGAACAAGGCCTCTCATCATTTGGTTGGGCTTCCTAATATCAAGGCTGCAGCATCACTGGAAGGTGAAAGTGGGAATCATAAGCTCCATAAGTCCCAGGCTCTAACTGAACATCACTTCTGCCACTTTTTATTGATGAAAGCAAGTCATAAGGCAAGTTCAGATTCAAAAGGTTGGAAAATAGAGAAGTTGTGGAATACTGTGGTCATGACTTCCAATTCAGCACAGCCCTAGGATGACTACTTATGTGTAAGAGGACTGATGCTGGTGGAAAGCCTTATATTTTAAAATGAAATTAAAGATACCAAACACCCAGTACCATCATCCTCTAAAACCACCAAAAGTGCCCAGAAATTTTTCTAAGCAATCTACACCAAAAGTGTATAGCCTCCTCCCCATCCTCTCTCTCATTCATTCATTCATTATTTACTACTTATTGAATACCTACTCTGAACCAAGACATGATTGCTGAGTTAGGGACATAATGCCTGCCATCATGGAATTTGTGATCTATGAGGGGGCATAATACTTAACCTAGTTTTATTTCAGCATCAACAAAGAAAGAATGAAAAATATGATAGCCCCTTGGCATTTGAGGGTTCTATGATCTGAAAGACGTTTGGCCAGGGGAGCTAACTTGCTATCTAACTTGCATCCCTAATAGAGGGGACACATGATGGGACATTGGAGAGAGTAAAGGACACATAGATGCCTCCACTTTCTTCTTTTCCCCTTTTCTTCATACAATAAAATTGAGGTAGGAAGTGAGCAAGGGGAATTTAAGCTGAGAAGCCAGCTTGGATGGGCTGAGGATGCAAAGCTTGGATGCAGACAGGATAGACTGAGATGTGCAGTGGCCTACACTAGACCAAAGAGCCAGAGCAACAGTTGTCTTAGTGACTTCCGCTCCTCTTTCAACTCTGCTGCTGGGCCTCTTCAGACATTTAATGTGCCCCTTCACCCATCCACCAAGCCTGGTGGTGACCTCATCTGAGCCAACCTTTTCTTCTGGTGGCTCTAAAAATTCCTTTTCTTTAACCTGCCTCAATAAAAGTACATTCTCAAATGCTCTATTTGTTTGGGTGTGACTAAAATGAGTCACATCAAATCATGAATGATGCTTAAAACAGAGCTTGTTCTCCAACAGTGGGCTTAAGTTCTTTGAGCTTGGGTCTCTGAGTTACTTGTCTGCATAAACCTGCTTCCCTACCTTAGCTGAATCTGCTTCCAGAAAATGGAATTCTTGGATCCACTTCCCTCAGCTGAATATTCAGCAAAATAAAGGGTCTTTGTCATTATTTGGGGGAAGTCAAATAGTCAATTGAGTTCTGACTATTTCAACCTGCAAAGCATAAATGGGGAAGCATAAGAGCTCCTATATCATTAAGTTGTGTTTGTTTATTTAATTGCTGGTACCTTGGCAGTGTTATTTTATCTCCCCACCGACTATACCTTATACATTACACACACTTCTATGACCTGACCCAAAAGTTTAGTCATGAGTCTTACAATCATTTTTTTCAGAAAATATATTCTGAGTTATAAATAGCAAATTTAAAAATAAACTTTTGAAACAAATTCTACCATTTGATGGATTCCTTTTACTGGAATATGATATTAAAAATTGTTTTTGGCTTTTGTTTGGATAATACCAATAGAAGGCATTATGATCTGTATTTTTTTTTTTTTGTCAATAATGAATATATTGAATCTCTCTGAGGTTGCTATGGAGAATCCCATGCCCAGTGCCCACTCGGCGTCCCTGCAGGGAAGTCTAAGATGTCAGCCTGAGCTGCCCAACCTTCTCTCCCTTCAGTCCTGTCATGTCAGTTCATGGCAACTTCACCTACCTCACTGCCCAAACGCCTGCAGTCATCCTCCACTGCTCGCTTCCTCCCCACACCATAAGCAACCTAGAAGCAATTCTGTTGACTATACCTCCAAAAGATGTCCAGAACCAAGTTCCCCTGCCCCTTCGTGGCCACTGCGTGCACTGAGTTCCCAAGGTCTGTTCCAGCACTAGCCTGCTGACCCTTTCTACCTTGCCCTGTTTTTGCTTTCATGTGGGATTCTTGACCAGCAGCTGGAGGACCCTGTTCACACAGATCACATCATGTCTGTCTCAGACCACTCCAGTGACTGGCAATGGCCTCTCAGACCAGCTGGCCTCAGCCCCTCCTGCTCACGTGCATTGTGTGGTCCTTTGTTCTTTCTCTGTGGCCACACTGGCTGTTATTTCTCCATCATACCAGGCACCCTCCCCACCCTCAGGGCCTTTGTCCTAGCCTCCTTCCACCTGCCCCACTGTCCCCAGACAGCTCCTGACCTGACTCCTCTCCCTCCTCAAGTCTTTAGGAAACCTCACCTGTCCACTGAGGCTGGTCCCACTGATGACCACAACCTCCTCCCTTTCCTCCTCCATGCTTCTGAAGGGGAGAAATTATAATTTGCCTCAACCCTCCTAAATTAGTAGTTGGGACAGAAGCCTGCAACAAAAGACAGATTAACAAAAGAAAATCAAGCATGATCACAAACACAAGCCCTGAGAGGGAGACCAGCAACTCACAGTGGCTTAGGGTCAGGCTTAAATAGCAACAAAGAAGGATAAATTTTAGAGAAGTGGCAGGACAAAGGAAAGCTGTTTAAAGTTTCCAAAGGCAGGGAAATGTGGAAAGGGAAATGTATGGCATAAAGTCACTCAGCTTCCCCTGGCACGGTTCCTAAGCTGGCAAAGGTCAGGCAGGCAAATTCACACCCTGTAAATCTGTAAGCAGGGAAGTGGGGAGGGATGATTTGTACAATAATTTTCTACCCTGCTTCTCGGCAAACAGAGGGAAGGTGGAGAGCTTCATCTCATACGTCTCCTCAAATGCCTTAAACTAAAAAAATATTATGTCAAAAAGGCAAATTTTGAGTTGACACCATCCCTTCCCTTCAGCCCCTATATTGCCCCCCTTTTCTCTGAGAGCACCCGTCACCTTCTACCATGATCTCATTCACTTTTTCCTCTGTTGTTTGCTGTTGCCCGACCCCACTGGAGTGTAAATTAGGCCAGGTGTCTCTGTATGTTCTGTTGGCTGGTGTTGAGCACACAGTGCCTGTGTGGGAAAGAACTTATTTCTGGCCTTTCCTGACACTGGGCCTACCTCTGCCTTCCCACTGGCCAGGAGCTGCAGGGTCAGGCTCGGAGAGGGTCTGTGTCTTCTGCATCTCTCCATCTTGAGAACCGAGTGCAGTGTGGAGTCTAGACCGGAACTTGGTCCTAGTTGGCCAGAATTCCTGCATCATTTCCAAAGAGGAGGAAGAGTCAGGACGCTGGAGGGTGTTCCCTCAGGAGCCTGTCCTGGCTCTTCTTGGAGGTCACTTCTTTGGCTTGTCACTTGCTTCTATTTGCTGGGCTTTCTCCACATTTCCCTTGGTCTCTTCTGCTCTAATCTTTCACATTATCTTTATTTTTAATTTGTTCTTCTTATCAAATGAATTTCAAAAATAGCTAAAGTGTGAATGTGTGAAAGGGAGGAAAGACCAGTGGAGCCACATCCATGGGTGCGTCTTTACTCCTCAGCAGAGGACA